AGGTTGGGCCATTTGAACTGGTTGTAAGGATTGTTCCCAAAGTCGGAGTTTTAGCCTTGAGAGGCAAGATCGAAGAACTCCGTGCTTAACATTTTTGCAATGGGTACAGGAGGAAGTTTGATATTGTTCTCCCAAGCAGAAAAGGCACTTAGTATGTCCGTCGGAAAGTGGGATCTTATTGTCACAGACAACACAGTGCTTAAATGGGCCCAAAGGGGCCATGAATAGGAGAAAATAAGTGAGGAGAAAAACCGATGACGGGTGTGTGTGTGCTGCGGCCAGAGGCTGAGCAAGGGGAAAAGAAAAATCTCTGATGATAAAGAGTTTGAGCTAATAGTTTAAAAGAAAAAGAAAAATAATAGGAAGAAATCAAGTATAAGCTCTCTTTCTCTTTTACTCACAGAAGCAGAATTTGAGGCTCTCAACGCTGCAGTTGAAAGAAAATGAAAGGGGACGGTTGGTTTGAGGCTCTCAACGCTGCAGTTGAAAGAAACTGAAAGGGGACGCTCGGTTCCAAGGGGCATATTTTAATGTGTTTTTTGCTGCCGCAGAAGCTCTAGAATCTTCCGATGAGGCTTTGCGCAGGCGCGAATCACATGCTGGGTGATTCACAGAGGCCACGAAGAAGAACTTGAGCTCTATCATATGAAGCAAGAAACTTCCAATTAGTAGGAATGAAGCTTTACATATTCACTTGTATCAGCATGGAAAGATAGTGAAAAACAGAACACATGGGCAGAATGGAACACATGTTATATGAAAATTGCTAAGCAACAACGTTTCATGCTTTGAATAAGGCTTATGAATTAAGCAAAATAAGTGCACCTTATGGAATGACATATGGTTGAGGAGCAGGTGGATTTGTTTATCTCACATGGTCTGTGGCAGTTCTCAACAACTTGTTCTGCAACTTTAGTCAGCAGATTGTACAGTTAGCATTGTGGCCAATACATTTACAAAACAGCAAGCTCATGCAAGCATGGCCATCTCTTGATTGCTAAAGAACCAGAAATTGTGTATCATGTAGAACACAAGAAGACAGAGAACATGGTATTTTTTGGTATTACAGTACTACACTCAAAGACACTATATTCCATGGACTGCCATCCACAGATAAAAAAAAATTTAAACATGGGTAAACAATCAGCCCAAAGAGACAGCTTTGCAAGTGTTTGAATAGCTGTTTTCAGTAGATTTACAGGAAGAAGAAATGAAAAGATAAGTCCTAGAGGTCAAGAAACAAAACAACCAGATCCCATACCAAAAATCTACTTCTGAGAAACTGTAATTCATGCAAGTGTCTTTTATGGAAAACACTTGGTCCTTCAGTTCTTGATCACAGCTTCTCAAAAGTAGAGGTCCCTGTTTCTATTTCCGTCACCACCACTATTTTTATACAATGATCTAATATTCCATTCTTTAAAGTCATTAGTACTTTGTTATTTGGAGCTCCTTTACAAATCTATTTATTCCTTTGAAAAAGTCTCTTTCTGTACCACTGGTACTCAAGACAAGAACATCTAGCAAACATGTCTTCCATTTGTACCAGTATTATTTTTTCTCAATTATTATTCTAAACCTAAACATGGTCTACTCATAGCGGCATCCAGCTTGAGGTCCCCAGACACTGCTGGGCTTCAACTCTGAGAAGCCATAATCAGCACCGCCAATCCCAACAACATTCCAGAGAACCACAGTTTGAAAATTACCTATTGAATTCATTTTGTTTCCATTGTTTCTCCTGTAGTGTAGAGAACCTGGCTTTGGTTTTTTAAAGATTGATATTGCTGCAGTCCTGTTCCTCACCAACAACAGAACATTAAAAAAAGTTTCACTGGTTTTCAATACTGTATAGACCACCATCATAGATACTTTGGTACTACAACATGACACCTTCTGGCCAGCTTGCATTGTCTAATTTTTAGCATGCACAATGAAGACATACCTCCTGAAATCTGCAACCAGCTTGACGTCTGCTATGACAAGCTTGTGCTCTATAATCATGTGCTTCAAAAGTTGCTTTTGTTCTAATGCCGGTGAATATTCTTCACATAACAGGCAAGGCACAGATGGAGAGACTTCTTCAGCAGATACGCCACCTGGATTTTCTGGCAGAGAAAGTGGCTCCAAAATATAGTCTTTGTGATCTAAAGAAAATAAATAAATAAATAAATAAATAAATAAATAAATAAATAAATAAATAAATAAATAAATAAATAAATAA